GAATGATTTTTTTCACTGGATGCACTAGAATCACGCAAAATCGGGAAAACGGTGACGAAGTCAACAATCAATTTATCCGTTATTTCAGACGGCCGCCATTTTGTCCTACGCAATTTTGACTGTGTTCCCGAGGGGGGCTAATGGTAAACTTTTTTTTGGGGGCTCTAGACATGTTTTGGAGCGCTTTAAAACACAAGAGAAGTTTGTGCTAATTTGTCCGAGGTTAGACCCTTTTTTTGGCTAGATTGACTGGACTAAAATCTTTTCTTCAAAAAAATTTTAAATAGTTTTATTTGCAATTGAATCGGTCGTAAGCAGGAGCACTGGAAAAAAACACATTGTATCTAGAATCCAGGCTCTTAAAAACATCGACAAGAAAAAATACTCTTGATTCAATCAGATTCAAGCTTAAATCAAAAGGAAATCCGCTCAAATTAAGAGGCTTGATTCTTGATTTAAGGTTAGATCTGATTGAATCAAGAGTATTTTTTCTTGTCGATGTTTTTAAGAGTCGGACTCTAGATCCAATGTGTTTTTTTTTTTCCCAGTGCGCGGTCCATTTAAAATCCGATTTCTTCGGCGGGAGTTGAAGACTGATGACCGATCTTCGACTCTCGGAGCGGCCGATGCGATGGACGGCCCGGGCCCTGGCGGCGAGGTTGAATTGAGCGGGAGATAACGCGTGCGGTTCGGCGGGCGGCCCGCGGCTCTTGGAATTCTTGATCTCCCCCCGCCGGGCGCCCCTTCCGTCGCTCGGCTGGCGTCTCGCAGGTCCGCGGCCACTCGGCTCTTCAGTGCGCCATCGAGTGTTGTCCCGGCCCAAGTGCGTGCCACGGTCCGCTCCTGTCATTAGTGCATTGTTCTCATTTGCCCCACGTTTCGGCTGCATTGTTCCGCCAAGACTCCGAGCTCTTATCACTTATCAGTGTGCGATCCGCATTCCGCGGCCCCTGTCCCGATTGTTCCGTTTCTGTTTCGTGGATTCGCGACAGTGGTTGTTTACGTTACGGTGTTTACCGTCTGTGGGTTTTCGTGTGAACTTCGCGATCTTGCGACAGTTTGGATTACTCAACTCGTCTCGTCTCTTGTTTTGCTTCAGGTAGGATAGTTCAGCTCTGTTATTGCTATTGGCCCGAAACTTGTTGGTATGTTTACGTAGACGCGGCTTAAATTTGCGGGAAGAATATATCGACTTGGTTAATTGATCGCTGATAATTGGTTTGATCCGCTGAAGCGCTTAGGATGGCCCGAGCGTGCTGTGAAAAAAACTCAACTTGCGTATGTACATCTAGAATTTAGGGTTGAAAATTTCACGAGTTGAAGTCGAATTCAGAGGTTAGGTTTCGCAACTTTTGGTCGACTGTGCACCATCAAGATTTGGGCCCTTCGCCATACTCATCGAAAATGTTAGCTCCGAAACCGATTGTCTTGAAAATGGTCACGAATTGACAAATATCAACTTTTGGACGCGGCTGACAACAGGACTTTAATTTGGGGGACACAGGGGGTTATACTACATCTATAGGGATCAACGCACGTAGCCCAGACAAATACCGTGCCCTACCCAAGGGTTCTGGCGCATTCCTCCAACTCGAGGATTAAGATGTCTTAGGATGGGGTGGACTGGCCGGCTGGTTCCGAGGAACCGAGGATTGGAAAGACATCTGGGCTTATTTTACTATTAGGAATAACTATTTCTGGCTTGTCCGTGAAAAACATGTGCACCTAGGAAAACGAATGGTACACATGTTGTTTCTCTACTGAGCCAGAAATTTTAGTTCCGAATTGCAAAATGCAGTCTAATAGCTCCCTTAACTTTAGCCAGGAGGGCTCCATGGAAGGATCCTCCTCCCGAAGTTGCGGGGCCCATCTGATACTTCTTCAGGAATTTTGCACGACTTTAAAAGGTCTCTTCTTTTGAACCTTCGCCCCCTGTAGGTACGAGAAGGGGTTCTAATCTTCTGCTTGGTGCCTCTCTCCTGAGAAATTTTGACTCAGCTCGGTCTTGCGCAGATGCAATCTTTTACCAATTTTTCATGCAGAAAGATATGTTTGCAGGTATCAAAAATGTCTTTCAGTTATTCCGCAAAGTACGTACTTGTTGTCCATTTTCTGAAGGAGCCCGAGTAGGTAGAACTTTAAGGGGGGCAGGCATCCGCATCCCACCTCCGGCTCCCCTTCGTTCTATCCACGTTCAGACTTGAACCCTGTAGGATCTTTTCTCGGATTGGTTGGTCAAAAATCATGTAAATGATCTATGGACAAACGAGAGCAATTGAAGCTAGTTTGATTCATAACTCAACGTTTAGTTGTTACAGTTTTATAGTCAGAAATTGGAGCGAATAGTGCTCCAGCTAGGGGTGCAGAATATGTCCGATCACGCGCCCGGGCGGGGGCGTGTTTTCTTCACAAAAGAATCACTGAAAAAAAAAGGGTCAGATTTTAGCCGAACTGGTCAGTTCAGCGGCGATTAGGCTAATAGGCAAACTGTTTGAAGTAGGAAACAAAATCTTTTAGCTCCTAGCATAACCAAGTTTATATACTATCTAAACCTCATTTTAGATTCATCACAAACCTAAAAGTTTATGTTGTATCTAAACCACTTCTAGGTAGTACTTATCTGAACTAGTTCGGCTATAATCCAAACTGGCCGTACACCGTCACAAACTTTTTAGGCAGGTGCAGTGACGAATCACGTGCGTTTAAAAAAGTCCGTTACTTTTTCAGTCTCAGTTGAAATGCTAATGGCGTCGCGAGTCGGTCGTATCGAGTCGGTTAACGAATTAAAAGTAATAAAAATTGATTATCTCAAGTGCTGTGCTGTTTCAAATTCACCGCTCATTCGGAATCGTCAGTGGCGCTCTCTGAAGGCAGTAGAACTTAACTCTCAGTCTCAGTGCTGTTGATGTCAACAGAAACTGATATCACCATCCCGGTGGGTGAGTCAAGGTATTATGTTACTAATTCTTTAATCATTAAACGAAACATATCCGAAAACATCATTACTGTTCTATTAATCTTTCAAGTAAACCAGTATTCCTTCGTCCAAGAGTGTAGATGTTCAACTAATCTGTTCGTTCGAGCGGCGTGCTGCGTGACAAGAATTCGCGTTCGAAACCGGAGGACTTTAGTCTGCCAGTGATTCTTATCATCAGTTTGTTAAATCAAGAAACATCAGCATTATCCAAATCATCATTTGATCGCTCGATATCGGTGCTATTGTTTTAATACATGGGATAGTAACAGTGTGTACCTATCTATGAGTCGCTCCTAATTAGAATCAGGACCTCATGTATGTATCAAAGCTCAATATTTTGGTTTCTTTCAGCGGCACATAGATTTTAAGGTGACAATTTTTTCTCAGGTAGCTCATCTGTAATATTTTTAACTTCGTATAACAACTGAGAAACCAATTCACATCTCCGCTCAGCGCCAGAACACAATTGTTTATTTTTCATTAAAGCTAACCTCAAAATATATTTTCATTCTTTATCCGCCTTGGTTTTTCATAACAGTCACTGCGGATCCAATATATCCATGAAATGAACTGTATTTTGTAGGAAGGTACCAAGTCGCATCATAATCAAATTCAGGCAAAGAGGTTCGAAGTTTTACCACTTCATATGACTCAACCAGAGATTAGTTCTGGAGGAATTCTTTCGAAGGCTGCCCTGAAATCATTTTATTTCGACTCATTTCTCCATCTTCTCTAGAATATCGATCCATCAAACCTGCTTAGTTCAACATTATAGTTTCTAGCTCTTTACTGCAATTAAATTGCGGAACTATAATTTGACAGTTAGCAGAATATCCTTCAATGTACCCACACTTCCAACCTGCAGAACTTACTTCGCAGATAACTGAACAACAATGATTCGTCCGTCCGGAGGAGAAGTTCGTAAGTACTTAAGTACATATACACCTACTAGCAACTTCACATATCTAGCCCCATTTTCAGTTGCAATATTAATAATATGTTTCATTTTCATGGAACCGGTTATGACTCCAGGTTTGTCTTCCTATAAGCTGTGTTTTTCTGTGCCCATTATTCAGGAGTCAAGAGTAGAGGATTAGAAGTCTGGAGAAGAACCGATCCATTTAATGTTACATCATTAGCATGTCCAAAATTTTAATTTCCAGAGAATTATGTGGTGATGAAAAGCCAGAGCCCTGTTATCCTCTGATTTCTTGTATTTTAATGATTTGAGTTTAGGTATCAGATTTGTAATGGGTGGGTAGTGTACCTATTTGATTGATTGATGATAAAAAAATTGATGGATACTTGTCCTACTTTCAATTTAAATTCACAAGTACCTGTTAAATGAATTCATAACGAAAATCAATAATTTCAGTGATATTATTTTGATGCTGTCTACATACACTGGGTTCTTATTCCGTGCCAGGATTGTTATCATTTACCAAAAAATACCTTGAAACTGAGCAAAAGATTTTTTCTGGTATGACCTTTTGGAACTGCATAATAAGGGAATAATGTGTGTTTAGAATTTGACTAGGCATTCTATCCACTTCCCCCCCTTGTAAGCTAATCTTTTTTATTTAAGACCTTCATCATTTTTTCCTATTTTAGAGAGAGTAAGGAAATGCTGATTATAACAAAATTTGAGGAACAATTACTTTCATCCCTGTTGAATGAAAAAAAATAAAACAAAGCACCTACCTTAAAAAAAAATAAATAAAGTAAAAAAATACAATGAAGCAAAGAATAAAATAAAGTAAATTCATAAAATAAAGTAAATTAATAATATTAAGTAAATAAATAAAATAAAGTAAATTAATAAAATAAAGTCAATAAATAAATAAAGTAAATACATAAAACACCTGAAGTCTAAAGAAAATCAACTAAAAAAACAAAATGAAGTAAAACAAATGACGTAAAATAATATAATGAAGTGAAAAAATAAAATGAAGTAAAATAATGCATTAAAATAAGAATTGAACAAAAGCTATGTAAATTGGTCAAGATATCCTGGTTGTCCTATCAATTGGAAGCTAAATGCGGGTTTTTCGTCCCCGCTACTCAAGTTCTCGGCATGGCTCAATAGGTAGGATCCTCGTCTTCGGTTAGGTAGGTCCCAGGTTCAACTCCCGACGTAGGCAAAAAAAATTCTGCACGTGAATATCGAGAAATGTGCCTCCAAATGTCTCGTGGACCTTATTTATCGCGGTTTTAGACATTATTTCCGTATATAATCCATTTTGGGGGGCTCTTTTCAACTGTCTCTTGGCTACAAACCCCAAAATTTGCTGCCGATGCTCCAATTTAGCGATCCAAACCAGGTTTAGATTTATGCCGAACTAGTTTAGATATTACCTAAACTCGAGTCAGCGTACTACCCAAAATAGGGTTTGCCTACTATCCAAAATAACTAGCTGGGGCCATATCAGCTATCCGGAGTTGGTGTTGTACACCGATATTCCGGCAAAAATCCAAACCCTTTTTTTTCAGTGAACGTAATTACATTTCAATGTTGCCAAATTACTTCGCGCAAATTGCTCTCTTGCCAGAATGATCTTGGGAATTTCTATCTGAAAATTTAACTACTTTTTCTTCTGATCTCGTGCAAGAGCCGAAAACAATGTTCAATGCAAATAGCGCAGATTTTTCCTTGCAGCAAATATTGTTTGATTTCATTTTACAACTTTGGAACAGAGTTACTTTCCTTCGCCTGGGAAACGACAAATCGTAGTAGCGCGGCGCAGCCGTTGTAATCAATACATTTATGCGCAGTCAAAATTATTAGTATACGAACCAGTTTCAGATTCATAGAAAATGCATGACACAAAATGGAGTTGTGTTTCGGCGACAAATGGAAACTTCCATCGGAACTCCATCGCTGGACCCTTAACGCGATACCGCTTTCTTAATGAACTAAGTGTTGAGCAAGGTTTTGGGCAACTCGTTTGTCAAACAAGCTAATGAAGCTACATGTGCTGAACCCCAACGGGTAGAAAGAGAGTGCAGTGAGTGTTGCCCACATGCTACCGCTTATTATAGGAACATTTTGATACTGACAACCAAAATGCCTACAATATTCGGGGTACAAAGAGAGGGAAACAACTTCTTTGATGTTTTACTGG